CTACTCAATCCTCTGTAATGGCCTATACGGGAAAAGAATGTAAAAAAAAAAAAGAGTTCATATATGTATATGTATAACTGATTCATTTTGCTCTTTGCTGTACACCTGAAACTAACACAACATTGTAAATCAACTATACTCCAACAAATATTAAAAAACAAAACAAAACAGTAATGGCAGGGCCAGAGAAGAGTGAGTCTTGCCCAGATAAAAGATAAAGAGGGACTTCCCTGGTGGTCCAGTGGGTAAGGCTCTGCACTCCCAATGCCGGGGACCTGGGTTCAATCCCTGGTCTGGGAACTAGATCCCGCATACATGCCGCTACTGAGAGTTCACATGTGGCAACTAAGAAGTCCGCATGCTGCAACTAAGAAGCCTGCATGCCACAACTAAGAGTCCACGTGCCACAACTAAAGATCCCTCAGAACTCAACAAAGATCCTGCACCACAACTAAGACCCAGCACAGCCAAAATAAATATTAAAAAAAAAAAAAAAAAAAAGTCCACATATTTCTCATTCTCAAGGTCAAGGAGACCTCCCCGACTACACATGCGCAGAAAGGCTCCTCAGGGATTAAAAAGGGACGGGGGGCTTCCCTGGTGGCGCAGTGGTTGAGAGTCCGCCTGCCGATGCAGGCGACACGGGTTTGTGCCCTGGTCCGGGAAGATCCCACATGCCGCAGAGTGGCTAGGCCCGTGAGCCATGGCCGCTGAGCCTGCACATCCGGAGCCTGTGCTCCGCAACGGGAGAGGCCACAACAGTAAGAGGCCTGTGTACCGCAAAGAAAAAAAAAAAAAAAGGGAGGGGGCACCGCCCCATAGTAGATGATGTTACTGAGTCCAAGCTCGCTCTGTTCACCGGACAACAGGCCAATAAATCGGGAGATGAGGTGTTGAGGCAAGGAATAGTGACTTTATTCGGAAAGCTGGAGGACTGAGAAGATGGCAGACAAGTGTACCCAAAAACCGTCTTATCTGGGTCTGGATGCCAGGTTCTTTTATAGAACAGAGAAGGGGAAGAGGTGAGGAAGTAAAGTAACAAAAAGCAAAGGTTAAAGTAAAAGAAACAGATGCAACATGGAGTCAGGATTTGCTCTTCCCTGTTACGATGTCAACCTACCCATAGGCCTCTTCACTAGACTCCATCTTGGCTAAGAGATGTGAACGCACACAGGGGAGGATCCTGAGATAAACCAAATATGGACTCAGAGCGGGGCAAAGCAAGATGACTGACCAGAGGAAACCCGGAAGAAATGCCCCAAACTACCATGGGGGCACGACTCTCCCTCTCTGAGCCTGCCCATGTGTGTCTATTCACATGTGCTCTTTTTCCTCCTAATAAACACTACTTGTTTCACTACTTTCCATCTCCTTGTGGAAATTCATTTCTACAAAGCCAGTGGGCCAGGGCCTTGTCACTGGCCACTGGCCCTCATGGTCTAGTGGCTAGGATTCAGCTCTTTCACTGCCGTGGCCTGACTTCAATCTCTGGCTGGGGAACAAAGACCCTGCTTGAAGCCGCTGCTGGCCGAGGCCACCAGAGATCAGTTCGACTACATGTCTTTTTTCCAGCAGAATATGTCAATGTATCCTGGCTCCTCCCTTACCTCTTCAGAACAGTTCCTCAGAGCTGAGAGGCTGTCTCCCAGGCTATGGTCCTCAATAAGATTCCTCAAATAAATCTTAAACCAAAGCACTTCCCTGCTGGCGCAGTGGTTAAGAATCCGCCTGCCAATGCAGGGGACACGGGTTCGATCCCTAGTCTGAGAAGATCCCAGATGCCATGGGGCAATTTAAGCCGGCAAGCCACAACTACTGAGCCTGCATGCCACAACTACTGAAGGCTGCGTGCCTAGAGCCCATGCTCCTCAACAAGAGAAGCCACCACAATGAGAAGCCCTCGCTCCACAACAAAGAGTAGGCCCTGCTCGCCGCAACTAGAGAAAGCCTGCAACAAAGGTCCAGGTTGTGCATTTTTCTTCAATGTGCTTAAGTTTCTTTAAGCCAATTAAATAGAATTTTTTTACAAATTAATTTTGGCAATACCTCCTTAAGGTAGAAAAATACCACAGATCTACAACATATGTACGTAGACACATATAAACATACAGACTGATGCAAACAGAGAACTCATAGCTTTTTTTTTTTGTTTTTGGTTGCATTGGGTCTTCGTTGCTGTGTGTGCTTTCTTGGTGAGCGGGAGCTACTCTTTGTCGTGCTGCGTGGGTTTCTCACTGCGGTGGCTTTTCTCGTTGCGGAGCATGGGCTCTAGGCGCGCAGGCTTCAGTAGTTGTGACATGTGAGCTCAGTAGTTGTGGCTTGCAGGCTCTAGAGCACAGGCTCAGTAGTTGTGGTGCACAGGCTTAGTTGCTCCGCGGTCTGTGGGATCTTCCCAGAGCAGGGCTCGAACCTGTGTCCCCTGCATTGGCAGGCAGATTCTTAACCACTGCACCACCAGGGAAGTCCCAAGAGCTCATAACTTTTGTTCTAAAATTTTAGCCATGAATTCGGTACAAAATTAACTAGTTGTAGAATAAGCTGGATCCAAATGGTTTTGGCAGATGGAATAAGTTAAGGTTACCTGCTCAGATGGCTAAAACTTTTTACTAATATTTGTGGAGAAGACACTTAAGACTTTTACTTGTCTAAGTTCCAAACAACCTTTCCCCCTTTTGTTTTCCTTCGGATAAGAATGGTCTCTCTAAAGTTTGCATTTCAAAGAGATGACCTAGATAAGAATTCTGGAGAAGACCAAGTAAGAATATTTACATCTCAAAGGCACAGGGAAAAAACGCAAATTCCTCCAAGGACTTTTGTTTTCTAAGGCCAGAATTTTTACAATACTCACAAGCCTTTTAAGATAAATAGAGGAGGTTTGGGGGTTGGTAAAAAGGACAGGTGGACTTTGAATTGTTTCTGGAGCTGCATTTCTGGCTTTGCAAAGATTTGTAAGGTAAGGACAGTTGCTTTTAATTCCTCAGGGGATTAGGTTGCAACTTAAATGACATTATAGATTGATCCACCCATCCAACTACATTTTTCTCAATTTGCTTCTTTGTAACAGGGAGATCTTCAACTAAGATGGAAATCTAAAAGAGTCCTATGTTCTAGATTTAGAGCTATATGTCTTTGAAATGTTTTAGTAAATCCTTCCACAAAGGCTTCAGAAGGTTTTTTTGCTTGTTTGTTTTTTTCTTTCCCTCTGGGTACATTTAGCTTAGAGAAGGCCTAAAAAAAAATTCTTACCAAGCTCTGAATCTCAGCGTACAATTTGGCCAATTTCTGGCCAAAGAGCTACCTTGGGGGAAAAAAAAAAAGTCCTTTCAAAAAAATCTTGTTAATTTTCAGCCAGGACAAACAGTAAAGGTAGTTACAATAACAAGTTTTATTCTCCTCTTGACTGGGCACTACAGACAGAGATTCAGGAGAGCCGAAGCTGGTTAGAATTCTCACTCTTCACTGGCTGTATCAGTTTTCCCAGGATCCCATATTCAGGCTCTAATATCTACCAGAATTGCTCAAGGTTATTCATTAATTTTGATTTTAATTTCCCTAGGCTGCTTAAGGAAATAAAATAGCTGTTTACCAGAAAATCCTTCAGGAGGCTGTCAACACTGGGAGGGGCCCACATCAGGGCCCTCCTTTGAGGGTAGATATGGGGACATCTGTAAGGCCACTAACTTGGTGGACTTTTGTTTATGGTCTTGTAGTCTCTTCAGAGTGGAAAGACAATTCAGACAGAGGATTACTAGAATGAGCACTCAAGTAAAGGAGGATAGAGGGGAGCAATAGGAGTTGCATCAGTCTCATATAGTCTTTTCTTTTACATGCCTGTGTGCCTTTAATTTTTCATTAGCCTTTTGCAATGAATTGCTCAATGAAGCTATTACGGAATTCTGAAGGCTTTTGGAGGTTTCTGCATGCCAATTAAAATAGGTGTCCCAGGGGCTTCCCTTCCCTTCCCTGGTGGCACAGTGGTTGAGAGTTCGCCTGCTGATGCAGGGGACATGGGTTCGTGCCCCGGTCCGGGAAGATCCCACACGCCGCGGAGCGGCTGGGCCTGTGAGCCATGGCCACTAAGCCTGAGCGTCCAGAGCCTGTGCTCCGCAGTGGGAGAGGCCACAGCAGTGAGAGGCCCGTGTACCGCAAAAAAAAAAAAAAAAAAAAAAATAGGTGTCCCATTCTGTGTGTTTGATTTGGGAACACTTGCTTTCAAATGCACTTCTTAAATAAATGCTCTTGTCTAACTGGAACCTTTCTCATAACAGCTATTGTAAGTCTAGATTGTCTTTGTAAGATTTTGCCATTTTTGCAGATATTTACAGCTTCCAGGACCACAGTTCTTGGGTATACAATAAGCAGTTGTGCCAGAAGGTGACACACTCAATTATTTGAAACTCAATCCCATTTCTTTAGCTGTCTTGGGTCTCTTGGAGCCAAATTAATACCTGAGAGGGATGTGCTGCCAGGTTGGAGTTTGTGTGGTGTTTTACAGTGGATCTTGTTGCACAGAAATTTTCTTGCGGTTGGCAGGTGACCTAGTGTCAACCTAACCCTTTCCGAGACCAATTTATTATAATTACTAGGGTCTTAGAGTTAGGTGGTGAGTGCTCTAACAGCTTTTATGTGCTCCACCTGTGCCCACCAGTTTTGTGGCTTTTGCCTTCCAAGATTCCTATTAGCAACAGCCTTGACCTCATGTGCACATTAACAGAAACTAACAGTAACCTGGCCAAGAGAAGGCCTTGTGTGCACCACCAGCAATTCCCAATGTGGAACTGGGGACTAGGGAAAGGACTGAACCAGAAGACCCCCAACAAAGGGGACTATGGACTGGGATTCCAATCAAACAAAGAACAGTGGATGAAACCAAGAGCTAGAGGCTTGGGTTCTGGGTGGAACCATCTGCTAGCTCAAGCTGACCTGCCCCAGAATGGAAAGCCAATTAAATCAGAAGTTTGACACAAAGAGAATGGAGCTCAGAATCAGAAGGAACTTACCCATGGCCTTTGGAAGTGGCGAGAAAGAGAACTCAAAGGATTTGAGGGTACCAGTGCTTGTGTTTCTTGTCCTCAAAGCCCTCAGAAGTTTCCTCTGGATCCCACCGCTGCCACCAAATCTGTTAAAAAACAAATTTCAACTGAGTAAATTTTAAAGATCTTACTGGCTTCATTCAATGATTCACGAACTGGGCAACATATCCCATCTAGCTGACAGAAAGGAGCTCCAAGGAGCTGTACAAAATGAAAGATTTTTATAGGCTGAAGGGAGCAGGAACAAGGAAGTTATACTAGCAAAAAGTGGATTGGTTGTGGCATGGATCAGGAAACAGTATCTATAGTTGAAGCTGTGAGACCCAAAGGGCCATGGGCTGGGTGAGATGGAGGTCAGCAGGGGTCAGACCACTCAAGACCTGGAAGTATGTTAGACAGGGAAAGGCCTAGAGCGGATCAGCCTTTTAAAATAATGACTCTGGCTGCTGCCAGAGGGTAGACTGTGGGAGCAGAGTAGAAGTAGGGGGAAGCAGCCATCTAGGTGAGAGATGAGGGTGGTAGACTCAGTGGTGACTGGGGATTTGGAGAAAAGTGAATGGACCAAAAAGATATTTAGAGGGTTGGAGATGGGGTGGGGAGGAGGTTGAGAGTTTAGGGGAGGGAGCCATCCAGGATGCCACCCAGCTTTCTGGCTTGGATGCATGGATGGATGGTGGTGGTCTTCACTGGGATGGACAACAAGAAGAAGAAGACCAGGCTTGGTGGTGGGGGGCAAGAAAGGTCATGAGTTCAGTTTGGACATATCAGACCGAGGGGTCTGAGCAGGTCTGGGCCTACCTGCTGTCCCACAGGCACCAGCAGCATGGCCACCCTCTCAAACCCCCAGGCTCAATCTTTTTTTTTTTTGTGGTACGCAAGCCTCTCACTGTTGTGGCCTCTCCCGTTGCGGAGCACAGGCTCCGGACGCGCAGGCTCAGCGGCCATGGCTCACGGGCCCAGCCACTCCGCGGCATGTGGGATCTTCCCGGATCGGGGCACAAACCCATGTCACCTGCATCGGCAGGCGGACTCTCAACCACTGCGCCACTAGGGAAGCACCCCAGGCTCAATCTTTAGCAAATTCAGCTGCTTCCTGTCCACCCATCACCCTCCCCCTCCACACACGCACACATCCACAGAGTGAGTCAACCAATCTTCTTCATCTGTCACATGGGACAAGAACAGTATCCATTTCCTGGGGGTAGCTGTAAGCAGTAAGCAAACTAAGGCACAAAAAATGCTGAGAAGTGGGCCAGGTGCTAGTCACCATTAGCACTGCCCATGCCCTTTCTCCTGGCCATGCAACACAAGTGCATTTCTATCACCTCTACGGCACAGGCTTGGAACTAGCCATCTCCCAACAGCCCAGTCTTGATCTTGCCATGCACCTGCTCAAAATATTGTTAGTGTTTCCTACTCAAAAGACGGGACCCCTGTGCCAGCTGGTCCCAAGCCATTTCCCAGCCTCCTTCCCCACCCTCTTCATTAGGTGCTGCTCCCATCACAGACACCTGCACCTTCCCCAGTCATGCTACACACTTACCCATCTGCTTTGCTCTTTCTCCCCTTCCCACCTGTCCTTCCCAAGTGCCGCTCTATTTGCTAGGCACCTCCTCTGGGAGGCTTCTCCAAGGCCCTGCAGGGGATGAGCTCCACCCGTTCCAGATTTCTACAGCTTCCTCAGGCTCCTCTTTACCTTCTGGCCACTCTTGGGATTCACTGGGTTTCCTTTGACTTGTCTGACTCCTTTTCCCAAGGCATCAGCTCACTGAACACAGGGAGGCACATAGGCTTCATCACTGTGGTGTCCTAGTGCCTGGCACTGTGCCCAACCCAACATAGGGCTTGGTTGATACTGGTGCAGAAAATCAACAGAACCCCTAATGTACAGTTTCATGTAGATCCATCTCATCTCCCGCAAAGGCCAGAAGACAGGCAAGAAGGGTATTCTGGCCTGGGGACAATAAGCCCTTTCCCAGAAGCTGCTCTGTGAGACAAAGTCCAGGACAAGCAAACAGAGATCAAAGAAGCCTCTGGGCCCCCTCACCATATCAGGGTCACAGCAGCCAGTACATCCCAACCAGGGCCATGGAGTAGGTTGACCAGGGGCCATGTCTGCCCACTGTGTGTGGCTTGTGGGGGACAGACAGGGTTTGTGCATAAAACTTAAGAAACAAGCTACAAGATGGGTCTCTGGGATCTTTGACTGCTTCTTCTTTCTTCCTAATAATGCAGAGGACATTTCTATCATTACATGATAGGCCTGGGCTTTGGAGTCTGAAAGATTTGGGTTTGAATACATGCTCTTTCATTTGCTGTGGGACCAACGTCCCAGGGACACCCTGAGGATAAAATTAGATCATAAAGGGCTGAGAGCGACGCATGGCTTGTAGTCTGTCCTTCATCATGAAAGCATGGCTTTCATCTTTTGTCTCCACCATATCCTGGAATGATGAGGCTTACTTCTGCTCTTCTTTACAAAGCTGACTGGCCTAAAGGGTGTGTCACCCATTACGTATCCCCAGAACTGTCCAGACCACCTCTAGCAGAACTGCTAGAGGTGGTGCCATCAGAAACAAGGACATGGGCAGACGCTTTGTAAGCCACCGTATCTGCCTCTCTGGCCAAAGCGTGACTGTCTGAAAAGTTTGTTGATGCTTAAAGAATTTTGAAAGGAACACCTAATGAAGTTGAGAAATCCATTTTTAACTGTGGCTTCTTGATGCCTGCCCCAGTGTCGCTGATGCTGGCCCTGTGCCACGGAGCCGGGATTAAATGAGCTGTCTGGGTCTTCACAATTCACGCCAGCTGAGTGTAGCTCTAACCAAGGGGCACAGTCTGAGTCTGGTCAGGAGTTTGCACAGCTGGGAGTCCCCCTAAGGAGAAAGCTTTCACTGTCTATTTCTCATCCCTCAAATTGTAATATTTGCCTTCACCTTGTCTAATGTTTAATCCATGTTTATCCAGCATGTTATTGATTAGTGGGCTGAGTGAAGTGACAGGCAGCAGGAGCCTTGAGACCATGCACGGCACGACGGGGCTTCGGGGGCTGCTCTGTGTGTGCCTGGCGTCCCTGCTCACCCTGCAGGCCATGCCCGCTCAGGGTTCACCCACACGCAGTCCCAAAGGTGGCAAGGTATGTGAGTAAACCCCTGGGCCAGAAACGGGCAGCTGAACCTGGAAGGGGCTACAGAGACCAGGGCTCTCCCCACCCACCTCGACCTCCTCTGAATGGAGAGGACTTCCCAGCAGCATGGGGGAAGTGAGGCCGAGGCGTCGAGGACACAGGCTGTGTTCCACTCCCGTCCCTTAACAGATAGGCCCTGGTCCGCTGAGTGCTCGCACTCACACTTGTGCCGGTTTTGTTTTACAGAAGCGACCGGCTTTGGACACAGTGAGTGAGGATCTCAGCACAGGGGTCTGTGGTGGGCCTTTATTACAGTCTGTTTCCCCTGGGCTTCGAGGTGTGCCCCTGGGCAGAGGGACTCCCGTCTCCTCCAAATGGGGGCTCGCCCACCCCCCTCATGCCCCACGGCATGGCCTCAGGCATAGAGAACAGCACCTGTGTCAGAGCTGGGTGCCGAGGTCTCCCGTGGCTGAGCCCCCATCCCAGCCACCTCCCGCACGTCCCACTTTAGGCTGTCGATGGCGTGGTCATCCAGAGTTTGAAAGTCAACTGCAAAGTCACCTCTCGCTTTTCCCACTGTGTCATCACCAGCCAAGTGGTCAACAACGCCGACGAAGCCAAGGAAGTGGCCTTTGATGTGGAAATCCCCAGGACGGCCTTCATCAGCGACTTTGCCATGTGCGTGCCCGCCTGGTTCACCAGGCCCAGCCCGAAACCATGACTCTGAGTGGCCCAACAGTGCAGCCCATCCCCTCGTCCCCAAGGGCCACAGGCCAGCCCCAGCTCTGAAGGACTGAAAAGCCCTTTAGGTCTGCTCTGGGCTCCCATCTTAGACAGCAAACTAGAGCCTCTGACAGTGTGTTTTCAGCCTAGGGCCCAAGGAGCACAGGCTGGCACCCAGAGTTTCTTGCTGGACTCTGTGGCCGTGGCTGCCCACCTCCTTGAGCAGCTCTGGGGGCAGTGGAAGGCCAGCAGGAGATGCCCTCTCACAAGTGCTCACCTGGACAGGGCCTCCTTAGTGCCTGGGCTGGGAGCACCTCCAATACAAAGGCCCTGTGTGGTTGGGGAGGGGCACCTCCCTGAGGGCGTCTTCCTCCCTGTAGCACAGCAGGTGAAAATGCATTCCTCGGGGACATAAGGGACAAAGTGACTGCATGGAAGCAGTACCGGAAAGCGGCCATCTCAGGAGAGAACGCCGGCCTTGTCAGGTGAGCTCTGGGTGCTGCCCTGGTGCTGCCCTCCCCTGCCAGGATGCATGCCTTGGGTGGAGGGCAGCCCAGGCTGATGGGAAGGGAGCAAACTGCCCAGATCCACTGCTGGCACAGGTGCACTGGACGAGGCCTCTGGAGAAGTGGGGCTCTGACCCTGGCCAGCCAGCTAAGACAAGAGTGAGGGTCAAGGAAAGCTGGGAGCAGCGCGAAAATAAGAGAAACTGACTCTGAGGGCCATGCTTTAGGTGACAAGGACCTCCATATCACTTACCATTTGTCTGTTTGTTGTTGCCACTGGTGGCACATCCAGGGCCTCAGGGAGAACGATGGAGCAGTTTGCCATCCAGGTCACCATCAGTCCCCGGAGCAAGGCCACGTTCCGGCTGACCTACGAGGAGGTGCTGAGGCGAAAGCTTATGCTGTATGACATTGTCATCAAGGTCAAGCCCAAGCAGCTGGTGCAGCATTTTGAGGTAGATCGCTGGTGACCACGTGCAGGGGCAAGGTCTCAGGAGCTGGGCTCCTGCCTCTCCCTCTCTGAGGCTCTGAGCGCTGGTTTGGCACCCACCGTGTGCAGCCCTGGGCCTGAGCACACAGGGAGGCGACTCACTCCTCAGGGTGGGCTCTGATGGCTGTTCATGGGCAGGGAGCTCCCTGAACCCTCCAACCTCCTCCTTCTTCTGAGCCTTGGCTTGCTCATCTGTCAAATGGGGGTTTTGTGTGTCCCAGAACTGCCACAAGGATCATGAGGGATATTGAATGTCCAGGGAGTTTGTAAACCAGTTAGTCCTGGGCAGCCTGAGGGGCTGTAATTGTTACTGGCACCTTAGTGGTGGCCGAGTTGAGGGGCTCAGGCATGCACACTTTCATTTGGCCAATATTTTTGGAGTGCCTACAACATGCCAGGCCCTGTGCTGAGAGCTGGGTGGGTGCTGCACACAGTAGGTGGTCAGGATATACGTTGGGTCTTGGCTGAGACTTGATGATGGCTCCCAAATGGGAGCCTTGGTACAGGAACTGCTTCAATGCCACAGATCGACGTGGACATCTTTGAGCCTCGGGGGATCAGCAAGCTGGATGCCCAGGCCTCCTTCCTCCCCAAGGAACTGGCCGCCCAACTCATCAAGAAGTCCTTCTCAGGAAAAGAGGTGCGTGGGATGGCTGAGCCCTCATAGACTTCTCAGCATGGCTGCAGACAAGGGCTGCAAGCCACCCTAGGGGAGAGAGAGAGAGGAACGTTGCACTCCTGATTCTCAGAGCCGCTTGGCAAAAGCCTGTGTGCTGAGGCTGGGGAGGGTGCCTACAACGGCTGCCTGGTCTGGGGTGAGTTGCTGGCTTGCTTAAGCCTCAGTTTCCTCTTTGCCTGTCTCATCCCAACAGGAAAGCATTCATGGAAATATAGGGCACATGTGCAAACCTCAGGATTCCAAGCCCCAGTGTTCTTGGAAACATGATGAAGTTTGGAAAGGCCTTTGGCCTACCCAGCCACTTGCCACTTGTCACTTCCCACCTGTCTGTGGGAATCCCAGAAGCCCCCTGCTTGTCCCTACCCCAGGTCCTGAGGAGTGTGGCATATGAGCGGGTGATACCCAGCTAGTGCCCTGCTTCCTAACTTGCCCTCAACTGGAGCCAGGAGCAAACTGTTTATTCCCCACCCACCTTTGGTAGTGAGTCCATAACAATTCACTTAAAAGAAATGTTTCCTACAGTTTTGAAGGGGTTCCTTTGAAACAAAATATGATACCCCAGAGTGTTAGCAAACATGCTTGCTTTCAGTAGGGGACCAAGGGGATGGTCTTTGTCTTCCTAATAACTTTCAAAAAAATTTTTAATCAGCATATTTTGCTTTTATAACAAACAAACAAAAAGTAAAAAGAAAAGCATCTTTAAAGAAAATGTGGAAAGTACAAAAGTGTAGAAATGTATCGAGTACAAACCACCACCAATTTCCCGGAACACCAGCACCAAGTCCAAACAGACCGCAGCTCCCACTCTGGGAGCTCTTCCTTCTCTTTGTCTATCCAGGCAGGTTTCATTTTCCAGCACAGTGTTGCTTTTTTCACTAGACAGTGTGAGTTGACCGATGCTTCTCATGCTGCTATTATTTTGTTTTTATTGTGTATCCAAAGTGATGATACTTATAGAAAATCCCAATGATTCAGAAGCATGTGAGCAAAGAAACAGGTCTTCTCTCCTACCACCCACAGGTATGTATTCTCAGCAGCAGGGCGAGGGGCCCGCTAGACTCATTCCTATGCCTGTGCACCACACACACACTCACACACACACACACACACACACACACACACACACACCCCTTACGTTGTCATTGCAAACCAGTAATGCCTCACACCTTCAATGGTTCCAGGGTCATGTGCTTTTCCATCCCACGGTGGGCCAGCAGCAATCCTGCCCCACATGCTCTACGACCTTGCTGAATGGGGACTTCAAGGTGACCTACGATGTCAATCGGGACAAGGCCTGTGACCTCCTGGTGAGCTGGAAGCTTCTTGCCCAAGACTCAGAGGGTGGGCAGGGTGCTTGAGAGAGAGGCCTCACTTGTCCCTTTGTGTTTCAGGTCGCTGATAACCACTTTGCCCACTTCTTTGCTCCCCAAAACCTGACAAAACTGAACAAGAATGTGGTTTTTGTGATTGACATCAGCTCCTCCATGGGAGGCCAGAAAGTGAAGCAGGTAAACTGTGGCTCTAACCAGTTGGCCAGCAGGAGCTTCTTTAGCCCCATCACCCATCCCACCCTGGTTTTGCCTCCAGAGTCTGGGTTTGGGACTTCTGCTCCTGGTCAGAGGCAGGGTAATTTAACAGGATATCCCAGTGGTCAGGGGCTCTGGAATCAGCCACTTTCTCACTGTGCAACCGTGGGCAAGTGCATTCACTTCTCCTCAATGACAAAAATGGGAGTAAAATGCAGTGCCCATACGGTTGTGGGGTTTACCAATGGGGGATGCTTGGAAGATGAGGCCTGTACCCTAGGCGTGCAGGGATGATTACAGCGCTCCCGGGAGATGGCTTGCAGCAGGGCACAGCCCACTCCCACCGCGCTCTGGGTGTCCTGTCCATAGCACAGTGAAAGCATGGCTGGACAATCAGAGTTTTAGAAACTCAGCCCCCTGGGGTCCTCTGTCTTAATCCTGACCCCCTTGAACTCCTGGTCATTTCCCCTCCCCATACTGGGTCCCTTTGCCTTCTCCATCCCTCTCAAGACATCCCAGAACTCAGTAGGATGCTCCTCTCCTGGCACCACCTGGCTGTCCTGTCCATCCCCTTCTGCTTGCCCACCATGTACCTCTACCCTGTGGATCTCTGAACTGGGTATCTGGAGATGACAGAAGGCACTATCCTGGGGCCCTGCCCCTCCACTGACTGTCCTGTCCTTACAGACCAAGGAGGCGCTCCTTAAAATCCTGGGGGACTTGCGGCCAGGGGACTACTTCGACCTGGTCCTCTTTGGGTCTGCAGTGCAGTCCTGGAGGGGCTCGCTGGTGCAGGCATCTGCCGCCAATCTGGACGCAGCTCGGAACTTTGTGCAGCACTTCTCTCTGGCTGGGTGTAAGGGCAGGGGTTTGGGGCCACCTCGATGTCACCTCTGTCCCCTCAGATTCAGGGCATACACTGATCTGCTTTCTCTTTTTTGCAGCTACAAACCTGAATGGAGGTTTGCTCCAGGGAATTGAGATTCTGAACAAAGCTCAGGGAAGCCTCCCAGAGCTCAGCAACCACGCCTCTATTCTCATCATGCTGACAGATGGCGAGCCCACAGAAGGTAAACGCCCTGAGGGCTACCTTGGGAAGTGGTGATCTCTTCATTACCAAAGGCATTCAAGCTGAACTTGGAAATACAACCAATGGGGATGCTGTCAGGGGGCAGAAAGGCTAAGGGCAAAGCCAAGCACTGGTTTAAAAGCAGAGTTCAGACCACGGAGTCTGAAGGAGCTCCAAGGTGTTCTGTCCTGAATTGGGAAGCTGGGGAAGTTTCTGCATGACACGGGGTTGCACAGGGCCCAGGAGGATGGGCAGGACCCTAGGCTGAGTTTAATGAACTATGGGTTCAGCACTGACTGAGTGCCAAGCACAGGACTAGGGACCAAGGAGAGACACTAAGAGAACAAGACACATCTTTGCCCTTAAGGAGCCCAGGGTCCACTGGGGGAGGCAGCCCCAGGAGCAGATGCTCTGTCAAGGGCCCTGAAGGGTGCCAGAAGGCCGAAGGAGCACAGACAAGGGGCACCTCGCCCAGGCAAGGTCTCAGAAGGCGTCTTGGAAGAGGTGGCCCCTGAGCTCAATCTGGAAGGAGGGGAGGAGAAGCAGGAAGGGATCCCTGGCAGAAGGGGCAGCTTGAGCAAAACAAGGTTTGTGCACTGGCAGGGCCTGTCTGGGAAGTGTAGGCATATGCAGAGTAGGTGAAACAGGGTGGAAGGGTCAGCAGGACCTCACAGGCCATGCGAGGAGCCGTGAGTTCAGAGCAGAATCAGATCTGCTCATGGTGGATCCATGTAGATGGGCAAAGTCTTCGAGGAGCTCTGTGAGTAGCTGTTGCAGTCACCCAGGTGAGCCAGCAAGAGGCGTTGCCTCAAGATGCCAGTGGGGACTGGAGATGGTCTGAGATGGGAGTCTTGGCCCCCAGGGAGGGTGCCCCAAAGTCCCCTTGTGCCCCACACACCTGTGAGCCAGCATCCCGTCCCTACCTGGCTGTGTGGCTGCAGGGGTGACGGATCATACCCAAATCCTCAAGAACGTCCGAGATGCCATCAGGGGCAAGTTCCCACTCTACAACTTGGGCTTCGGCCATGATGTGGACTTGAAATTCCTGGAGGTCATGTCCCTGGAGAACAACGGACGTGTCCAGAGAATCTACGAGGACCACGATGCCACCCAGCAGCTGCAGGTCTCCTCCTCCCCCTGCTCCCAAAGTCACGCCATGGGGAGCATGGCCTTGGCAGCCACGTACCCATCAGCCCAGAGCAGATAAAGCTCTGGTGTGGGGTTTGAATTAGCTGTGTGACCTCAAACCAGTTACTTAAGCCCTGAGCCTTCAATTCCTTCTATAAAGTAGGGATCCCGACACCCCACTTTGTGAGTGGGTTTCCTGTTGGATGCCTAGGACGACCCACCAGCACTGAGGCTGCACCCCCCATCCCCACAGGGCTTCTACGAGCAGGTAGCCAACCCTCTGCTGAGGGATGTGGAGTTGCTGTACCCCTGGGATGCCGTCTCGGCCCTGACCCAGCACCACCATAAACAGTACTATGAAGGCTCGGAGATCATAGTGGCCGGGCGCATCGCTGACCACAAACTGAGCAGCTTCAAGGCGGATGTGCAAGCCTATGGGGTAAACAGAGGGCTGCGGAGGGTGGAGAGGCACCCAGAGACTCCAAACCTACACTGCTCCCCACCCCTGTGCCCCCGGCAGCCTCTCTTTCCCCAGAGCGGTGCCTCATCCCAGCAGGCCACACACCCCCCAGGCGTGAGCATTCTTCCAATGAAGGCATCCAGAGGGCAGGCTAGAGTGGGGCCAACATGGCCTTGATTAGCTGTAGTCCCTTGTATCC